TGTGTCAAGAGGCTGCGTTTGAGGTGTGGGCTGGGGTTGAGGATTCATCTGAAAGCTCCACCGGGTGGTTGGGAAACAGACTTGCTTCTGATCTTACTCGTGTGATGCTGTGATGGTTCTGCTACTTCTGGGCCATGGACTAAGGACCTCAGCTTCCAGCTTGCTTTTGGCCACAGTCCATCTGCAATGCCTGGTCACATGGATCTCCCAGCATAGCAGCTCACTGCATCAAAGCCAGCAATGGTAAAGAGTAGCCTCATGAAAAAGAAACATGAATCCTGAACCTGCCCACAGAAGTGACTTCTCATTACCTTCGCTGCTTTTCTGCTGGTTAGAAGTAAGTCATAGATTACATTCACACAGTCAGGGAAAGCATGGGGATTACTGGGGGCCATCTTTAAGTCTGCCCAGAATAAGAGGGGATATAAGTAGAAATGCCTAGTAATCTGTGCCATGCTATTTATAAGTATAAGGATTTACTGTTACCATTTGGATCAAACTGCAAAAAGGGAACTAACCCTGCCTGAAATAATAGGGAACCACTAAGTGTAGGAATTTAAGGGCCAAATTGTACTATTAGTACCAGGTCCTCAGGGAAATGGACTGGGCCTAGTTAGCTTATTTTACACATTCTATACATGCCTTCCTGGTTTGCAAGGGCACATTTAAGCAGCCAGGAAATACCTGAGCCTTCTCCTACCTCCCCCCCATAACCATCCTGGGTATGGTCTTTAAAAATATAAAAGAGTACCAGACATGGTGGTGCACACCAGCATTAGGGAGGCAAAGACAGGTGGATCTCTGTGAGTTTGAGGCCAGCCTGGTCTACATAGTGAGTTCCAGGTCAGACAGAGCTACACAGTGAGACCCTACCTCAAACAAACAAACAAACTATATATATACACAAGAGGCAGGTGTACTATTCCTGCAACCCTAGTACTTAGGAGACTGAGACAGAAGAATTGCTGAGGGTTTGAAGCCATTCTGGGCTACATGGTGAGTTCTGGATGACAGGATGAGATCCTTTGTCTAAAATATAAAACAAAAGGCAAAATCAACAAACTTGTATGAAAGATGCATGTGAGATCTCTCTCTCTCTCTCTCTCTCTCTCTCTCTCTCTCTCTCTCTCTCTCTGTGTGTGTGTGTGTGTGTGTGTGTGTGTGTGTTGTGTGTTGTTCAAGGCAGAAAGGTGAATGTCCAAGATGGGGAAGCTGTGTAGGACACAGGTGGGCTCAAACCCAAGCCATCAGATGGCTGCTTCTTCCTGTAATGCCCTCTGGCCCATTTAAAGACACTGCTACTCTATAGCTTCCTAAAACTGAAAGAGGGGAGACACTGTTCTCACAAGGCTTTCCCATAAGCCCTTGTCTTCTGAAACATCCCAGCAGAGTGAGCTAAGGCTTCCAAAGCCAGTGTAGTGGCTTCACACCTGCCAGACCAAGACTTTCAGGGGGGTGGGTTCCTGTAGTCACACAGTAAGCTTCTGTCTTGCAAGCAAACCTCAGCGGTATTGTGTGGAAGCAGGGGAGAGTCCGCTGATGTTGTGCTGGCATCGTATAAATCCACCCCATCGTGAAAGTCATCTCCTTTCCCACATACCCACAAGATGCTTCAGGAACCCCCAGAAACATGGCCTACCAGACATCTGGGCAAAGTCAAATGCATCTTCACCAGGAAGCTCAATTTTATGTGGGAAATTAAAAGTTGCAACTTGCTGTCCCCTAGTGGTCAATAAAAGTAATTGTCAGCCTGTGGCAATTACAAAGAACCAATTGTAAAAGTAATTGTCAGCCTGTGACAATTACAAAGAACCAATTACCCTTTTTATTAAAGCATATAATAACTTTTATTAAAGCACATAACACCTGCCTGTTGTGTTCCACAGTGTGATGTACGATATTGGGAGTGGCAGGTGTGGGAAACAGTATAACACAATCCTTGGTTGCAAAGGGTTTAAAGCTTAGTAGAAGACTCAAGAGTTTTCTGAATCAAAAACTGACCAGTAGGGCTGGAGAAATGGCTTGGCAATTAAGAGCACTTGCTGTTTTTTTTTTGCAGAAGACCCAGATTCAATTCCCAGCATCCACATGGCAGCTCACAGCCATCTGTAACTCCAACTCAGGGAATCCAAAACCCTATTCTGGCTTCCTCAGGTACCAGGTACACATGCAGTGTTCACACATATATACAGGCAAAACACTCATACACATAAAATAAATAAATAAATAAATAAATATATTATTTGTTTTGAGACAGTGTTTCTCTGTCTAACAGCCCTCACTTTGTAGTCCAGGTTAGCCTTGAACTCACAGAGATCCACCTGCCTCTGCCTCCCGAGTGCTAGGATTAAAGGCCTGTACCACCACGCCTGTCTTAAATATATATTTTTAAGTTGACTAGCACCCACCAAAAAAAGAATACGGAAAGGCATTGTGGTAGGATCTCTGTTAGTCATCTGTCCTCAAGCCTGTTTGATTCGTGTCTTCCCCTAGTGTCTTCCCCTGCAGCCTTTCCAGACCCCTTCCAATTCAGAGATCCTTTCAGCTTGAAAGACACATCTCAGATCTTGTAGCAGGCATCTTCCTCAGCAATCAGCATCCCTCCTCCATGGCCTGCACCCCTGGTCTATGGTCAGTATCATAGGGTATTTAAATTCCTTTCCATCACTAAACTCCAAACTTCCTAAGAACCAGGACTGCCACATGGGGCAGGGGCTTTAGCTGGGGGAACAATGGAGGTGAGAAGGAAACGTTAAATGCTGGTGAGCATGCAGGACATTTGGGGAGGGTGAAGCCTTTGAGGCTGTGTCTGGATGAGTGTATCTTCCACTCTTTTGAAGGTGATGGGAAGTCCCGAGTGGCTTTTGATGATCACATTTCTCCACTTACTCAAATTTTACACATCCTTCAAGGCACCAAGAAGCCTTTCTCGGCTGCCCCAATCCTGAGCCCTTGCCTCATCTCTGGATCCTACTGCAATGCCTTTCCATATTCTACTCTTCAAGCCTTATTTTGGTGGATGCTGGTCAACTTTAAAATATATTTATTTTTCAGGCAGTGCTAGAAAGATAATGGAGTCACAGGCAAGGACCAAAGGAAGGGGCTGACGTATGGCCAAACTACAGTGAAAGGAATGGTGCTCAGACACAGACCCACGGATGTTAGTTATGAAGCCAGTACACCAGTTCAGCTTGAACTGGCGTGGGGAACAGAAGATAGAAGTAGATCAAAAGAATTTGAGATAGTTCAGTCAAAGCACCTGGGCACATCCTATACCCTGATCAAAATAATGTGCCGGTAGATCACCCAAGAGCTTTTTAAAATGCAGACTCCTGCTCCTCAGGCCCTTCATAGGCAGGAGATGCTTTGTTGCCAGTGCATGCCCACACTGCTGGTCCACAGACCTCACTAGCAGCAAGGCTGCTTCCTCTAAATGAAGCAGAAGCAGACTTTCTAGGAGGGCCTGGTGGGCAAGTGGTGCCTTGAGTGAGGGAATGTGTATCCTTCATCCAGGTGAGCACACAGGATGCACGACCTGGTAAGCAGGGTGCAGCTGAGGCCCAGATGTGGAATCATGACAAACAGGGAGAGCTCAGGGGTAGACATCCATCTGGAAAGCAAAATAATGCCTTCACCCTGTGTATATTGATTTTGAGATAACAGTGGGCCATCCAAGAACAATGTCCAGATGAGAATGGGTGGAGATTAAGGAATACACTAACCCCAGGCACCTTTTTCAGGGAGTAACATTCTTTTCCCAATATCTCTGTCCCTTTTGTTGTCTTACAGATCATCGCTCCCTTCACTGAGTGTAAGTCCTTGAAGCCCTCCCTCCATCCTCCAGCTATCAAGCCCCCACTGTCCTGCAGGGGTGGAGATGGGGGTCTCCATATGCCTGGGAGGCTCAGAAACCACCACGCACTGGCCTGCCGAAGGCCTGGATAGCCTCACCCAGAATTTGCCTCTGTCCTGTTCATTTGGCCCAAGAACCAGGACCAGTGTCCCTAGTCAGACCATGGCCTTTTGGGAACCAGGATGCTACCTGCCAGCTCACTCTGGTCTCATGTCTCCAAATGTTCAGAAGCCATTGATATTTGTGCCCAAAAGAAGTGATACACAGCCCAACTTTTAGGGGGAGCCAGGCTAGGTGGAATTCCAGGCAAATTTGTCAAAGCTTCAGTGCAGTGCTGTGGCTTATGTGTTGAACATGGATAATAAGTCTCAAAAGATTAAAGTGAGGATTCCTGAGCCATTTTAGGGTAGGGGGAATACTTAGCATAAAGCCTCACAGACAAAGCCCTTCTAGTATTCCCTCTTGGAACCATAGGAGCGGGAAGTCAAGAAGGGGGTAAAGACAGGAGCAAGAGGGACCAGACCACTTAGTCAGCACAGGGCTTGTCTTGCAAGCATGAGGACCTGAGTTCAGTCTCCAAAGAGGACCTGAGTTTGATCCCTAGAACCCACATTTTAAAAGTCAGGGGTGATAGTAGGCATTTGTAAGCCAAGGATCAGTGAGTCAGAAACGGGCAAATCCTGGGACTCCATGGCCATCTGACCTACTCTACTGGGCAAGTTCCAGGCCAGCGAGAGACTGTCTCAAAGAATGGCACCTGAGGAACAATACCTAATGTCCCCTGGGCTCTACAGGAGCGCGCGCGCGCGTGCGCGCGCGCACGCACGCACACACACACACACACACACACACACACACACACACACACGTACACTCACATGCACACAGACTACACACAGACATACATATATAAATAATAATAATAATAGGAGTAGGGAAAGAGAAAAACCAAAAGACTAAAGGAGAAACAGAGCAGTTAGCACTATGCCTGTCTTTTCCTCCAGCAGCCACTCTGGGTTAAGCATAGCAAGTCCTCTGCCTTCAGGAAGTCCATTCGGGCCTGGGTCCACTCAGTTCCTGTCCTCCTACCTTCTATTCCTCACTTACCGGCATGCGTCTTTGCAGAGTTTGATGGGGCGCCGGGCGGATGACAGCGGGAACAGTTGTGATCACTGGCGGAATCCTAGCTACAGTGATCCTCCTCTGTATCATTGCTGTCCTGTGCTACTGTAGACTCCAGGTTAGTCCCATGGGCCTATAGTCAGAGGCTGGGAGGCCACCAGCAAGCCACTTCTCCATGATTGGGGGCAGGAACTGGAGGTCCACTTTGGAGGCAACGAAACCCAAAGCCATAAAATACAAGAAGCACAAGTCAATGAGACTGAAAATTGAGCGTGTTCAGAAGAGAACTGTGCACCTAACCCCCCCCAAACACACACACACACACACACACACACACACACACACACACACACACACACACCCTGTACTCTACAGAGGCACGGGAGTGTCCTGGCAAGATGCAGGGCTCTCACAGTCACCTCTCCAATTCATAAGGATTGGAGGGAAAGTCACCATCCTGGGAAACTCTGAAAGCTACTGCAGCAGCCTCCAGCCTTGTCTTTGTATTCATGTATGTGCCTCCCTCTCTGCTTCCCTGCCCACCAGGATACACTGAGAAAATGGGAGAAATATTGGCCTGGTAAAGCTGGGAGTAAATGGGATGTGGGCCTCTAGTGCTGAAATATATTTCCCTTCACCAACCAAGTGACTGGCATGAGGTGTTCAGCGGAAGGTGGAGGAGAGCTGTTCTCACTAGTGACAGGAGGAGGGGGAGCTAGACTGCCTCTCAAGCATCCCTCTTCCTTCTCCCCAGTATTACTGCTGCAAGAAGAACACAGATGACGAGGATGCTGAGGAGGAGGAGGAAGAGGAGGAGCACAACCTTTCCATCCATATCCGAGCCCCCACCTGCAATGCCTGCAGTTCCCAAGTCCTGGACGGCAGAGGCAGCCTGGCACCTCTCAACAGTGAGCCCTGCAGCCAGCCGTGTGGGGTGGCCAGCCACTGTACCACTTGCTCCCCATACAGCACCCCCTTTTACATACGGACAACTGACATGGTGCCGAATGGGGGTGGAGGCGAGAGGCTCTCTTTTGCTCCTACACATTACAAAGAGGGGGGAACCCCATCCCTCAAATTGGCAGCACCCCAGAGTTACCCGGTGACCTGGCCAAGTTCTGGGCATGAGGCCTTCACTAATCCAAGGGCTATTAGTACAGATGTATAATCCTTTCACCCCAATCTGCACACACCCAACACTGTCCCAGCAGGAGCAATGGAGTGGAGGGGACCCTCCAATAGTCCCACAGGAACCGTCTCAGTTTCTCTGGCTTCCATAGCAGAGGGGTCACTAGGATGTGAGCTATTAAATGCATTGAGGACCAGGGCAGGACCTATGGCCCAGAAGTGGCGACCTGATAAATCTGCAGTGTCACTAGTTTTTCTCCGGAGATTTCCCTCTAACAGTTGAGCTCTACCACAACCCCTTACAGTCAGTCCAAACCCTGTGTTTTGCTGGGCTGTGCAAAGGAGCACCAGAGAAGGCTAAGCAAAGGCTCTGGAAGCTTCCAGAGACCTTGGGAAATGAAGTGGGCTTGCCTATAAGAGATGGGCACAAAGGGAAAGGTGAGGACTAGATATTCCAGAATTTGAGAGGAGAAAGAAAAAACATGTTAAAGGAACCCCCTCAGCTTTGCTTGTTGGAATGCACCCATGGGCTAATGGACACTCTACTTTTTTTCCTAACTTTGTTTGCCCACTCTGACAGATACATGAGTTCTGGAAACACTACATCTGCTATCTTACCCTTCTCCATGAAACACATGGGGAACATAGCAAGAAGAGTCTATACAACCTTGCCTCACCTTCATGTCCTTCTTATGCCCCCTGCTAGAGAACCTTCCCTAGATTTTAATCACTGCAGTTCTAGAAGCCTAGTGAGCATATCTCACTGATGACCTCTGTTCCTCATGCTTAGTCACTGATGTAGGTTCAGCCCTGTGAGGGTGTGTGCATGCCCATTCCTGGGGCAGGGGGTACCCTCTCATGTACTCATCACCAGCAGCAACATTGTGGCTTTGTCTCCTTGAAGAGCTGCAGGGCAGAAGGGTCCAGGGTCCCAACAAGAAAGAAAATTCTGGCCCTCCAGCAGCTGGACCAAAAGGCAATTAAAGTGGCCAGTCTCCATGGCAACCAGAAGGAGGGACCTGAGGCAATGCTGCATCAGCATGCACCTGCACAAGCTCCTCTAGAGGCTGGTGCACCCCTTGAGCATCCATCTGTAAGGTGACTGGGAACAGGATTTTATCCCATCAAGGGATGTAGCCTTCTTTTCCCTGAGTTCTGGAGCAGGGCAGTGGGGGGTCCTTCTGAAGGTTGGCTGTGTCTTAGTAATTAGACCTCATGCTTGTGTGCCCTCCTTCGGCCTCCTAACTCTCCAGTCTCATGATGATGAGCTGTTTTTCTGTCTTCCTCTAGTCTCAAGTACCCACACTTCCCACTTATCTGTCACCTAGCAATGGCCTTATGGGTTTTTGTTGTTGTTTGTTTAGTTTTGCTTAGATAATTTTGTTTTGTTTTGTTAAGTTCTCCAGTTACCTCTGTGGCTCAAGGGTCACTGTCCCCACTCTAAGGGTATAGTTAATGCCTGCACATTCCTGACTCACAGAACGCTGGGAGGGTGGGCCAGGAGAAGGGCTGGTCTTTCTCTTGAACTCTTGGTTGGTTGGTTAGTTGGTTGACTTGACAAAGAGTAGGCTACACCTGACATCTCCAACTGTAAATAATTAACACTTGGTTAAAAAGCAGAAAATGATGTCTGGCCATATTTTGTTCATTCCTTAGCCTTGGTTGGGACCAGTCAGGTATTTTTCACTGAGACTTCCATTTTTCTCCAGGGGAAAAAAATGCCTAGACGGACTTGCCTAGATGGATTCTAAATGTCCTTTAATGCAATGCTCCACATATCCAAGACATCTTAGACCTGCTAGTCACCTCTTTCCTCTTGCCCTCATCCTGGCCAGGGCTGGACATACTCTCCAGCTGTCTGATCCTGGGTACAGGGGTATTTGTTTTGGGCTGGAAACCACAAAAGAGATGGGAGAAAGTCCACCGGGTTAGAAGGGAACGTTATTTCAATTGCTGGTGAAAGGCGAACAAGTCAGGCCTAGGGCTACAAGAACTCAGTTGGTTGCGTTCTTGACCAGTCTGCACAAAGCCCAGGTTCCCATCTCCAACACCATAGAAACCCAGCATGGTATGGCACACCTCTAAGTCCATCACTCAGGAGATAGAAGAAGGAAGATGGTAGTTGTTCAAAGTCATCCTTGGCTACATAGCAAGTTCAAGGTCAACCTGTGCTCCCTGGGACCCTGTCTCAAAAACAACAAAATATTTGTCCAACCCCCTACCAAGCAACCTCAATTGGCAAGCACTGCTACAGGAAGACACAGCAGGAGGGTTGATGAAAATTGTCCCCTGGTGCAAAGGGACGGCTCCAAAGCTCCAGTGCGATCAATCCTAACATCTCCCTGGGCCATGTGCAACCCCTTGACTTGTTGCCAGGCCTAGAAGCTCTCCCCACTTCCTCACCACCAGCCCAGTGCCTTGTTCTCCTGTGGTTCCACAGCTATAAGTTCCTTCACCCCAAATCACAATGCCATCATCATACCAATGCCTGTGGGTAAAGCAGGACAATCCAGCCAACTGTAACCCACTTTTGTACTCAGGGTCTCTGGGTACAAAGCACCCTTTGCCTTTGTGTGTCCTGTAGCTTTCTCAGCTTAACCCATGAGTCAAAAGGGGAGGAGAAACACACCCCTTCCCTTCAGGCCACATCATTCAAGGCACAGGCTCCACTGTAGGCTGTGGGTCACCTGCCCACCTGTCTTTTCACTGTTGCATCATGGGCTCCATCCTGGGGAAGAGAAAGCTCACCCAACTTAGCTGTGCTGTCCTTTTAGCTGTGGAGTCTATCCCATGAGACATAATTTGTATGCTCTTCAAACGGAACCCTAAACAGGAAGAGGAGGAGGAGGGGGCCAGGGAATAGCCAGTCCTCTCCACCATCCTTCTCCTCACCGCTCCACTACTCCTGCTGCAGATTTCTTGTCTTGCATCTTTGATAACTTGGAACACAACCAAGTGAATGTCAAAATAAAGGAGAAATTTTAAATAGAAAACCCAAGAGTGTCTTCCATTCTTCACCCGTGGAGGGCCAGCTCATTTCAACACCCACAGAAGATGTGTATGAACACCCAAAACATCCATTTTCAACCCTGCAATCTACTAGATTCCTTCTGCTCACTCATTAGCAAAGCACTCTCTTTCCAGGTGGCCTGCTGACTCAGCATCCACAACCAGCCAGGGTTTCCTGTTTCTTGGAGAAGGGGCTTTAATTAGGGTTAGAGATAAGTTGTGGGTTGCAAAGAGAAAGATCGCAATTCCAGCTGAGGTGCCTGGACACGGAAAACTTTATTACTGATCAAAACTTCACTACTCTGAAGAGCAAACACACATGGACAGGAAGTGTGTTTGGTTTTTAGTCTCACTCAAGGGGTGATTGTCTTTTTCCCATTGCCTGGGATCCTCACCGTCATATTCAACTGGCTAGCCTGAAAAGAATTAGTGCACAGGAACTGAAGGAGGGAGGGGAGAGGCCATTGCTCCAAGGTGTCAGGGTCACTGTTCCAGGCCATCAAGTTCCCAGAATACAGCAGGGCCTTTGTGTAAACAAATATTTTGCTGGGTGGAAAGGTTATTAAAATTTTTGCATAAAAGTCTTGCTTGGTGGGGAAGATAAAAAAATGTGAATTTCTTGTCCTAAACGCAAGTTTTATAGTATTTATTTGACAGTTCTTACAGGTATCTTGGCCAGGATAAGGAATTCACTAGGGATCAGTACAGACTTCTGCACCCACATTCCAGGTCAGCAGCTTCCCCACCTCTCTACTTTGGGGTCAAATTGTTGTTTCTCAGAAGACTTAACAGTGTTACACAATCAGTCCTGTGTGGTATGGGGAAGGAGAGAAGGGAGACAGACAGTTGCAGAGAGACTGCAAAAACAAGAGGGAGGGAATGGAGGCTTGAGAGCAGAGAACTAACTTTGTATGTCAAAGAGAAAGGCCAGAAGCTGGGAGAGGTACGTGCCGTTAGTCCCAGCTCCGGGGAGGCAGAGGCAGGCAGATCTCTGAGTTCAAAGGTAGCTTGGCCTACAGAGCAAGCTCTGCACAGAAAAATTCTTGTCTTGAAAAACCAAAAAAACAACAAAAGGTCAGGGATGAAGTCAGTGTGTCTGCATTTGTGTTACACAGGAGTCGAAGAGTAGCTCTCCCCACTTAAAAGGCTGTGACTATAGCTGGATGGTCTGCAGCTGGACAGCCATGACAATCCTGTGCTAAAACCTCTGGCCCAGCAGCTTCGCCTCAGGGAGTAGCTGGCCTCCGCTGAACCTCTGCTAATGTGGTTCACTTCTGAGAACCAAAGAGCCTGAAGCACATTTTTATGGCGCCTTACTGCCCCCCCCCCAACTGCCCCTGCCCTCATCGTCCCCCATCATTCTGGAATGCCCTGAAAGGCAGAACTGTGTTTAGTATATCAGTTTGGCCTCAGGCGTGTGGTAGAGCAACAATCTGGGTTCAGCCCTTTTCCACGATAGCCTTTGACCTTTCTAAGACTCAGGCCACTGCCCTGTCCAGGCCCAAGTGGGAAGAAGGAAGGAGAAGATAGAAGCAGTGCTCTGTATCACAGGTGGGAGGGACTGCGTGGGAAGGCAGGAAGCCACTGAGAACAGAAACCTACAGGTTTCTGAGGCAGCTTAAAGACAGGAGGCAAAAAAGAGACCTGTCTGACCTGGGGGGAGACACAGCAGGAAAGGGGAAATGGGTATTTGAGAAAGGGGAAAGAGAAACTTGGAGTTTATAAGGAAGTTTGTGCAGCCTCCAGGGCTACGTGCAGCCTGCAGTTTCTCCCTCCTGGAGTTGTTTATCCAGACAGGGCTGTTTTATCTTTAGAATCTCACTTGCCCAGGCTATCAGGGTGCGGGGGATACTGGGAGGCTGAGTTCTAAATGGCAGTGAGGGGGGTAAAGGGCTGGAGTTTCAACACAGGGGCATGGGGTTTCAACAAGCTTTAGGCCCGAAGGCTTAGGGGAACTGAGAGTTACTCGGTCAGGGTCTGGCAGTTTGTTCCAGGTTTATTCCAACATTGCCGAGTGCCCACACCTCTGCAGATCCATGGCATCATTATCCAGGAAGCGCCTTGATGTATTTAGGACAAAAAAAAAAAAAAATTCTGATGATTGAGGAGGATAGTTTCTCATGGATGACTCCTCTTTTGAGTAGCCCTGACCTTTTCTAGAAATACAAGCAATGAATATCCTGGCAAGACCCTTGCCCCAACCTAGGAGGAAGCCCCATCTCCTTCCAGAAGACTCACCCCACAATCTGGGGTGTACCAGCTCCCAAAGAGGTCCCTTACCAAACACAAGCAGTCCTGGAGGTAGACTTGATCCAGGCCTCAGCGAAACATTTGGCCACCACACTTCCTCTCCACCTTATCACTGTGGGCCCCCTCTCCCATACATGAACCACATCAAGGTGGGAAATAGAGAATGCCATCTTGGAAAGTCCAAATAGGTGTGACAGTTCCTATCCCCATAGGGATAGGCACCAGATGCTTGGTGGCTGAGTCACCTTCCCTTCTGGGTTTGACCATAAAATGACATGAGCCTGAGTAGGGGGCATCTCAGGCTCCAGCTGAGGCCTTTTTGCATAAACCACACCTGTGTCCACTCCTGCCCATCCACACAGGGGCAGCCCAGGGCTTCTGCCTCCACCTGGGGTACTTTGACCTATTGGGAATTGTATTCTTGCTCCTAAAACCAATAAAAGAGCTCTCCCCTTGAGACAGTTAAATAAACATGTTAAAACTAAACTAGAACCCTCACCTCCTAAGGTCCTCCAAACTCCATCCCCAAACCAAAAGAGTGATTAATAAGACCCAAGCCTCAGCCCTCTGGCTACTGAGACTCTCACTGCCCTATCTATTCTTCCTTGCCCTGAATCCCTCTTCCTATCCTCTCTTCCGACCCCTGAGGAGGAGAAGTCCGGGACTGGGAACAGTGGGGGAGGAGCCTGAAAGGAAAAAAATTAAGAATTTTTAAAATAGATGAAAGTTGTAACATAAAACAGGCCTGAGACAAGAAAATTTCAAGGTTGTACACTCCAATAAAAAAGCAGTCTCCTGCTGGGGCCTGGAAAGATAGTTCAGTGGTTAAGCGTGCTGGTGGCTCTTGCAGAGAACCCAGGTTCAATTTTCAGCACCCATTTGGGGGTTCACAGCTGTCTGTAACTTCAGTTACAGGGGATCTTAATGGTCTCTTCTGGCCTTTGTAGGCACTGCACAAACACGGTACAAAGATATACTTAAAGGCAAAACGCTCACCCCCCAAAACCAAAATAAAAACAAACCATTTTATACAGTCTTCTGTGGGGGCCTGGAAAGACGGCTCAGCACGTAAGAATGCTGTTGTGCAAGCATGAGTGCCCGAGTTCAAATCCTCAACAACCATGTAAAAAATCTGATGTGGCTGAACACGTAATCTTAGCATTCTCGGGGCAGAGTTAGAAGTTGCTGAGGGAGAATGATAGAGCAGTATAACCAAATCTTCCTCCCACCTCTGTGTACACAGATAGGCACACAAACAGCCACATATATAACCCATAACACGGGGGAGCGGGGGACTTATTGAGAAAGAATAGGGAATGACAAGGGGGCAGAAATGAAGTCTTTCCAGTTTGTCCCCTATTATGTCATTTTTATTTTGTTGCTGTTATTTTGAGAACAGGGTCAAATGTAGCCCAGGTAGCCAGGCTGGATTGTGCACAACTTTAATACCAGTACTTGGGAGGCAAAGGCAGGTGATCTCTATGAGTTTGAGGCCAGCCTGGTCTACATATCCAAGTTCCGGGACAGCCAGGATTACATAGAAAGACAAACAGAGACAACCCTTGTAGCTGAACATAACTTTGAACTCCTGACCCCCTTGCCTCTGCCCAAGTGCTAGAATTGCAGACGTATACCTTCATGCCCTGATGTTTGGGGTTGTTTTTGTTGTTGTTTTTGTCAATTTACGTTCCAAAAGATTTTTCCAAGTAAACTTATATGAAAACCATCCCTGAAAAGTGTTTGCTGGGTCATCTGACACAGACCCATGTGGGAAAGTCTGTCTGGTGTGTGGAATGAGTCAAGCATAGCCACGTGGACACATTAGTGGTGTCTGAGAAGTTGCTGCCACTTCACCGATCCAGATCTGGAGCAGGAGTTTGGCCAACACCAAGACTCTCTGTCACCTCTAAACAGGGAAAGAGGCAATTTTCTCACTCACAGGGCCAAGAGCAGAAGACTGAGCTGAAAAACAAAACAAAACAAAACAAACAAAAAAATGGGGTCAAACAGCACAGGTCTGTACTGTATGAATTCAAAAGTATTTCTTGTAGCAGCAGAAGAAAATCACACAAAATGTGGATATTGAACCATTTTGAAGTGTAGTAGGATTCCATGCCATGGATTTACGCAAATATTGAGCGGCCATCACCACCACTCTTCCAATGCTACTTATGACTCCCAAAATTCTCAAATCTAACACTCTCATTGGTGTTAGAATTACTTTCTGTAGATCTACTTCTGCAGTTAAAAAAAGTTTTAAGTTAGGCTCATTCTGCCTGTCCTGGCAAAATGGGGCTCTACAACTCCAGAGGAAGGCAGAATGACACGAGTCATTATCTCTACTCCCCATATGAAATCTGGCTTCAAGTACAGAAAGAAGGGCTTGGAAGAGAGTTCTACAGCCTATCCAGAAGGACAGAGTGGGGAGACTTGAGCAGGCAGCATATTGAAGATGAAACAGGAGAGGGGGTTAACAATGGACAGACTCAGGTATAGATATAGGATGGAGAAGTGCCCAGAAGACAGGCTGGGAGTCGAAGGCTCAGTTTGGCAGACAGTGGTGGGATGTGACCTTCCTCCTAGTCTGTGGGTATCCTGCGGTCCTGGGCTCTGGGGTGGATGAGTGGACTCAGGCAGGACAGAACTTAAGGGTCCCCAGGCAAAAGCCATCCATTAATGTCCATATACCACCACTTCCCTTCCCACTAACCCCACAGCCTTCTCTCCAGAAATCTCTGTCCTTATAGTTCCCAGACTGACAGAGTGGAGGGCTAACCATGTGGATGCTGGGAAACAAACCTAGGTCCTCTGCAAGAACAGCAAGTGCTCCTAAGCTCCAAACTCATCTATTTTTGTTGTTTGCAGATTTGGTATCAACCGAAATGGGAACCTGAAATTACATTTTAGGAAAAAAATCTAATAGCATTATTATATTGACGGTTCATCTATTTTTTCAAAAGCGTGTGTATGTGTGTGTGTGTGTGTGTGTGTGTGTGTGTGCGCGCGCCCGAGCGTGCACACACGTGTGCGCATGCATGAGGGTATCAGGTCCCCTGGAGCTGGAGTTAGATGGCTGTGAGACACCAAATGCAGTTGCTAGGAATTGAACTACCATGTTTTACAAGTGGTCTTAACCACTGAGTCATCTCTGGAGCCCCTGACAGTTCACACCTCCACCAGGGATATCTGAATAGGAGGGCTTAGTTTTGCTTTGTTTTAGAAGTTTTTAATCTTCTCAACTTTGAATATGTTGCCTGTGTGTTGGGGGTAGATGTGTAATTTTCTAGCCTTTTAACCTAAAAATTTAAAAATAAAACCGCCGCCATGCTACACATTCACTGCAGTTATTTGGACCACATTTAAGAAGCCCTATTCTCAGAGGTAGGCAAATCTCTGGGAGTTTGAGGCCAGCCGGGTCTACAGAGTGAGTTCCAGGATAGGCTCCAAAGCTACAGAAAGACCCTGTCTTAAAAGAAAAAAAAAAAAAAAGCCCCATTCTCTACAAGCAGGCTCATCTGCATTCTAGTTAGCCAAAAGTTCTTCATAGGCTAACTCCTGAAAAATATATTTTCCTAAACTGCAAGAATCAAATAGGAAACTAGTCAAGAAACACCTAGGTCTGAGCTGAGGGTAGATAGCAAGGACCAGCACCAGCAGGGAGGAGCCAGAAGCATGGAACCTGGGGGTTTTACTCATTAATTGGGTTTGGCAAGATTCTCAGAGTGAATTTTTCTTTCTTTCTTTTCTAGTGTTTGCGTGTCCTTCGTCAGGCACAGTCCATCTTGTTATTTGAGACAGGCCTAGAAAGGGACACTTAGACTAGACTGGCTGGCCCTCAAGCCCCTGTGTCTCCTGCTTCCCCAGTGCTGGGCTAACAAGCCAGTGCCATTACATGCAGACTTTTCTTTTTTTTTAAGATAGGTGTTGTGGAGATTGACTGTAGGTCACTGTGCGTCCAAGGCAAGCATTTTACCAATTGAGCTATTCCTCCAGGCCCGAGGTTGGGGTGTGTGTGTGTGTGTGTGTGTGTGTGTGTGTGTGTGTGTGTGTCAGAGATAGATGTTGAATGTCTTCCTCAATTACACTCCACATTTTTTGAGAAGGTCTCTCATTGAATCTAGAATCTACAGATTCTGCTGAGCTGGCTGGTCAGTGAGCCCCAGAAGTTTCCATTTTCCCAAGAGCTGGATCTACAGACATGTGCTGCCATGAAGTTTTTTGCTTTAGATTTATTTGCAGGTGTGTGAGTTCATGTATGCCTGTGTCCAAGTAGACTGCAGATGCCAGGTGTCAAGATTCAGTTATTTGCAGGAAGTCCAACTTGATATGTGCATGCTGGGAACCAAACTCTGGGCCTCATATGATCTGCCCTGGCCTTTAAGTTTAAATTTTTGACACAAACCACCTCCCTACTTCCAACACACAAGGTGTCACACACACACACACATACACACAAAATATATCCCCAGTTGGCATACCCTATGTTTGGAACAACTCTTCCCCTAGTCAAGAGAGCGACAGTGGGAATGAAATGCTCCGTAAACACTTCCAAGCGTTCCAGGCACACTGCCTGCACTGTACCTCTTCCCTGACAGCAACCAACACTGTTTGATGTTTCCAGAATTGTTTTGACCCTTCCCACCATTGATGACCACACACCCATTTCTGTAACTCTTTATTTGGGAAATTTTAGTCAAAAATAAATCAACTAGGAAAAATTCAAGATTTATTTGTATATTAACCAGCAAGTGATCTGAATAAGGCACATTCACTGTCATCAATATGGAATCAAAGGCAAAAAGCAGTCGTGGTGACATGAACTCAAGTCAGACATCAATGCTGTCAACACCGTTAAATTTGTAAAGACATAAAGGCAAAATCGGTGGTTAAGAAATCTTGGTTAGGGCTGGAGAGATGGCTCAGCCGTTAAAGGCTAGGCTCACAACCAAAAATATAAAAGAAATCTTGGTTAGATAGAAAAAGTAAGGTGAAAACCATCTGGCTGCATTTGTCTGTCATATCTAACAGCAGTGCTCACAGCGCTCCTGTCTTAACAAGCACAAGTATAAACCAAAGGCTATGAGACAATGCTCTATCACCAGCCAGCTGTTAGAGTGGGCCATAGGCCAAACCTCATTACCCCAAGCCTGAGGACTTCCAGGTGAAATTTACTAGAATTATTTCAGTGGTAAGAATTCTCTAAAACTCCTTTACTGAGCTCTGAAAGCTAACTTAAAAATCTGAACTTTACCTGGAAGGGAAAAACCTAAGTCCAAAGACAGTTTCTAATCGCCCTGCTTGCTTCTTGGTATTTATTCAAGAAGGGATTTCCATCAAAAAAACAAATAATATATATGTATATATACACATACATATTTCTGTACTGTGGTATTAAACTGTGATGTTCAAACATGATGTTTGTTATCATGCCACAAATAATTTTTCTAAGTCAAGCAAATTATCACAAATAAAGAATTACTACACACACAAAAGGCTGAAAAACTGCGGTGGTGGGGCATGCCTTTAATCCCAGCACTAGGGAGGCAGAGGCAGGCAGGCAGATCTCTGTGAGTTTGAGGCCAGCCTGGTTTACAGAGCCAGTTCCAGAACAAGCTCAGAAGCTACAGAGAAACCCTGTCTTAAAAACAAAACAAAACAAAAACTGAAAAATGTGAAAAAACAATGGACTAGAAGACAATACATCAGATAATAAATTTTAATTATATGTACATTTAAAAATATATTTTTGATTAACAAGTAATTGCATTAAGCTGGTGTAGTAGTAGTACTCCTTCCTATAAACCCATCACATAGAAGTTGAAGGCCTGAGAATCACTAGTTTGGACTATGTAAAGACTGCATCAAAAAACAGAAAATCATTTGTTCTGACCCCAAACTCATATATGCTTCTTTGCACAATGATTTCTAAGAAGTCTGGGGATGTAGCTTAGTGGAGGGGCACTTTCCTCAAATGTCAAGGCCCTGCATTCAATCCCCAGTACTGAAAAAAAATTAAAGAAAAAAGGTTTTGAAATAGTGGATCGAAAACTGACTAGTCTCAGTTGATTGCACTGACATATAGAAGGAAAAGCGTATTTTAACAAAGTCAACAGTAAAAAATTGAAAATTAATTTTAGAAATGTATTATATATCCCAAATTTATGTTGACAGCAAATTATATAAAACTATATTCAACTGAATGAAGAAACTTGTTTCACCTGTGATCTGAGCCACTGTCATAAACTGTATACAAATACTTCAGGTCAGTTCCTCTGCAGTCTGAGGTAGTACAGGCAGAAGGCCAACTTAACAGTTCTGCAAGGCACCCTTGGTTTTATGTGATGTGATGCTAGTGGCTAAGAGCTGAAATTAAAGCCAGGTGTGATGGTATACACCTAAACCCCAGCACTCAGGGAACTGAGGCAGAAGAAATTACTGTAAATTTGAAGTCAGCCTTGGCTACAGAGTGAGGACCACACCAGCCAGGGATAATATATGACAAGCCGCTAGCATTCAAAACAAATGAATAGAAGTCTAGAAATATGGGGGGAGGGGGGAGTCAAATATGGCATACAGATTTTTGTTCAGTCCCTCTGTTTTACAGTGATTTGACACTCAGATTCCATTCACTATGCTTTGTGTTTAGGGTCTTTTCTCAAATCTATTGCAATATTCCTTCAAAATCCCAAATGCATACTGCCTCTTTCCGTGTGCCTCCATAGTCAACCGAGCACATCAAAAGCTCTGGCCAAAGCCAATCTGTGTTCTTTCTGTGACAAATGTTTTCAGGTCGCTCCCCACCCCATCTTTGTGATCACTCTTTAACTAACAATAGAGATCTTCTTAGTGTTTCCTAAAATCCCTACAGACTCAAATAACTTCTTAATTATATACATGATCTCATAGCAGCAGACCAGCCAAAACCGAGTGCAAAAGTTCAGGGCTATTCCCATTCACGTAATGGAACAGACCTTTTGTGGGTTGGGATCATTTTATTAGAGTTTTACTTTAGAGTTCATGTGTGCTGATGTATTGGCCCCAGTCTAACAATCACGAGTTGTAGCTTAACAAGTGATATTGGCCACAATTTCTCTTTCTCTTCCCTATGAAGAAAGGTCATCCTCTTGCATTTCTCTAATTCCTTTCCTAATGGCATTGCCAACTAGCTGTCAAGAAACGAATGTAACATCCCACCATAGCACAGCAAATCCCATTTGGTAAAGTTATGCCAGCTGATAACTGGTGTCTCGTCTGAAATGGCACTCAGATTCTCACCACAGTCAATTATGAAATTCCGGCCAGCAGTGGCAGAAGTGATCAACAGAAATGAGCAAAACTCAGAGGTCATGCCTCTACACCCCACAGTAGACCATCTGTAGGTCTCTATCACCCTGTCCAACAAACCTTACTTCACCTTCCTACTCCTAAGCTTTAACACTTTCATCTCTTTCTATCTGAGTTCGTACCTTCTAGAATGTGCTTTCACTTCAATGGTTTTCAAACTTCCTTCTCAGTTAAACTTTGGTCCACTGAAATCTTAACAGAGAACACCAAACAGCAGTCAAGAGCAGAGATGTTCTTACATGAGGAGAGGGCTGGTAGGCACAGAGAAATGATATAGCCAGTTGGGATTTCTTCATTTCCAGTGATTACTAACAATTTCTACATTGATTCCAATACTTGGGAACATTTTTTAAAATAATTTATCTTTATTTGTATATTCATTGGTATTTTGCCTACATGTATATCTGTGTGAGGGTGTCAGATCTTGGAGTTAGACAGTTGTGATCCACCATGTGGGTGCTGAGAATTGAACCTGGGTCCTTTGGAAGAGCAGGCAGTGCTCTTAACCACTGAGCCATTTTCTCCAGTCCCAACTTTTTCTTTTTAATAAAGCAGTTTTTAACTCAGCTCATTAATGGAATAAAAGCATACATGCACCAAGTTCTTAGGTAGGATTTGGAAGGATGAAGTCTAGTTTCCTGTTTTCATTTACTCAAAGTGCAAATCCACGTAACTGCATTATTAAAGTGACTCTTAAAAACACTTAATACATGGTAGAAGAGTTCCCTGAAATCACTGGAATTACTAATCTGAGCCCAAACACTGCCCAAGAGGACTTGTAGAGTCCTCGCAAGGCAGCATTTCCTCTGAAATCAGATCTTCCTGTGCAATGATTATGCCCATGGACTGGAGATTTAAACAATCCCTTGGTTTTATGTATCATGCTGTATTTTAAACCTGATCTCCTTAAAAAGGCAAAGAAAGCCATCAGGCCAATTGCTAGTTTTATCAAAGTTTAGACTAGAAAGTTTTTACAAAAAGAAAAAAATAAGAAGAAGAAGATAGCTTCTTTTCTAAAATAAGGTCCTATGCCTCTCAGCTGTTTCCTCACGCCTGCTAACTAACTACCTCCTCCCAGGGGCACGGGCTCTCAGACCTGGCTTCAACGCCACCTCTGTGCATGGCTTCACAAAAGGCAGCCTCGCTCTTCTATGTTCTTGACTGGCTGGACAGGCAGCACCAGGTGTGAAATGCGGCTCCACAGCCCACTCAGTTTGTCTGAGTCCATGTGACTGAAGGAGCTGGGAGTTTCAGAGTTGGTGAATTTAGCCCAGAGTAAATCCCTCACTTTTTCTTCTGTCTCCCTGGGGCCTACGCTTGCTTCTAGTGTTTCCTCCTCCAGCAGGACGGTCAGGATGAGGGCCACATCTTTAAAGGCAGCATTCTCGTGATCACAATACTTGTAGAAGATCAGGGTGGAGCCTGCAGGAAGAGATTCAAAGTGGTGGACTACAGCAGCCTTATTGCCATTCTTAAATCCAGAGCTGAGCTCCAAGTCAACCCACAGCTTGACCACGTCACTGTCCTGCAGGGCTCTTTCAGCTCCGTCTATGGAGACGGCTGACACTTTCTGGGAAGAGGTGTAGGCATTGGCCACATGGTGACTCAGGCACTTGAGGGTCTCCTTTCCCTCTTGCGCAGCTGTGAAGATGATGGTGGCAGGCTCGGTGGGGTTTGAGACATTGAGGTGCTTCTGGAGAAACTTTCGTCCTCGCTGCCATAGAAAGGAACTCTGACCTGGAAATTTATCCTTCAGTTGGCTAAACTGAGCCAGGAAAGCCTCCAAAGCTGGGTTCTGGGGCACTTGCTGGGCTAGGGAGGAATAGTAGCTATTGATGGAACTTAGCACAAGAGCCACAATCAGGCAGCAGAGAAACAGAAGACCTGCCAAATGAGAAGATAACAGAAAATGAGAAGAGCATGAGTCAGAAACAAAACTTGTGAGAAGCAAATGAAACACAGGTTTCTATCAAGTCTTATGGCAACGTTACACTCCCGTTGTCTGACTCTCATATACATTCACACTTCATGTCTAACAGAAATTTATCATCATGATTTTGAGGCCAGTGTAGCCCACACAAAAAGAAATAAAACAAAAAGTCTGACAGAAATACCTTCTTTAATCTCTTGAAGCTATTTGAAGATATACCATCTATGTCAACATTGTCATATACTTTGTTATAGTCAGTGACGCTTTTGAAAGATAGTCATGACAACTCTCTTCCACTTTCCAAAAGTGCACACTGGCTAGAGCAGACCGCTCTGCAATCAAAACTTAAAAATGATCCACACAGCTTATACATCTCAGCACGTGGAGGACTGTGATGCCTGAGCTACATATGGAGACTCAGTGTCAAAGGGGAGAGCAACAACAAACAACTTCAGTGCAATCTGAGACGTTAGCAGCCTCTGACTGAAGAAGCAGCTTCTGGAAACTGAGGCAAGAATACTGTCATGTGTCTGAGGCTGGCATGGGCGGCATGTGAATCCCAGTCAGGACTACACAGCAAAGCCCTGCTGCCTCAACAAACCAAACAAAACAAAAGGCAGTTTCAGTTTCTTGTATCTATACAGTATTTTCTGCCTCTAGCAAGGTAGCTCAGTGGTAGAGTGTTTGCCAAGCATGCACAAGACCCTAATTCAATCCTCCATTGGGGCCTCAGGTAGGGGTAGGGGAGAAGCAGCAGATTTTCTGACCATGAGGATTTCTTATTTGTTAAACAAAATATCAACCAGTAGCCCTGGAGGAAAAATCTTTACAACTTTATTGCTCCATTTTATTGAATTTATCAATAATTAAAGTTAAAATTGGTAAGTGAAATAGTTTTCTAGGCATTTTTCCTGAGGTCCTGTGAATTAGCAAAATTAGGTTTGTTCTCACCATAGCTCCAAAGACTCTTTTTATCAGTCTTTCTCAGTGAATCCTGTGCAGCCTCTTGTTTTTCCTTCACTAACTTCGTCTCTTCTTCAGGACTTCCAGCCTCTAGGGTGGAAGGAACATTGTTTGTAGACAGTGTACTGTAACCGTGGGTAGTAACTTTTACCTCTTACCCAATTACATGACAGGATTCTTATACTTTGCAAATTTTCCTTTTATGCAAGCCAAAATTGCTGCTTACTTCATTTCACTGTATTAGGTTTTCACCCCCCCCACACACACACACGGCATTCAAAACACTGTTTTATTTTTCTACCCATGGTGAACCTCTACAATGGTAAAATTGTAATTGTAGATATTGGTCCATTCAATAGCATTCAGGTCCCATTTGTTCATTCATTCATTCATTCATTCATTCATTCATTCATTCATTTTCTCACTCAAAAACTATTCACCAAGTCATACCTATGTGTTGGATGCCAGAGAAATACAATGAAAGAAGTAAGCTAAAATATTCTGATGGAAATGTATGAGACATTTTGTATCAGTCAAGTCCTTGATAAATGCTACACCTTGGAACTAGAACACGGGCATTTCAATGAGCTCTCCATAGTTCTTCTGAAGTACAAGGCATGGTGTTGCCGAAGTGAGGCTGAGGCCAGCGTGGGTTACAGAGTGAGATACTATCTCAAAACAAGAGCAACAAAAACCAACCAAGCATCTATGTGTATGTATTTGTGTTGATTTATACACATTTACCTGCTGATTAACACAGTATTTTGTTTTTCAAAGGACAAGAAAATTCAAAATTTGAAATTAAGTATCCTCATAAGAAATAAAAGTAAGATTTTAAAATTGTGTTCCTTTTTATCATATTGCATGAATATAAACAGTAAATAAAAACAATATTTAAAGATGTAGTTTGTGGGGATGGAGAGATGGCTCAGTCGTTAAGAGCACTGGCTGCTCTTCCAGAGGACCAGGTTCAATTCCCAGTACCTACATGGTGGCTCACAACCATCTGTAATTCCAGTTTCAGGGGAACTGACATCCTCCTCTGACACCTTGAATACCTAGCATGCATTTGGAACACAGACATATTTGCAGACAAAATAGCTATACACAAAAAAAAAGAAAGAAAAAAACAAAAAGCAATTTGTGAGCCATCAAGATGGCTCAGTGGGTAACAGTGACAAGCCTGATGACCTGGGTTCAATTTCCAGGACTCACATGGTAGAAGACCTGAAATGATTCATGCAGGTTGTCCTTTGACCTCCGTAAGTTCGCTGTGGCACCTGCCCCCACACAAATAGACACACACTCACACACACACACACACACACACACACACACACACACACACACAAGAAACAAAAGAAAATGTAAATGCATAGGTAGCGAGTACATATAGTGACTGAGCTAGTTAGTCTAAGAGACTAGAACCCTCACTTCAGCATCCTATTACTTTGAAAGATTCCCGCCATGTTCCCAGGGAAACACAAGCCAGGCTAACAGCAGTTCCGAGTGTTCTCTCACCTGACACAGGCAGTCGCCTCCTCAGTAAATCCTGGCTCCCTGGGTCTGCGCTGGAATGAACAGGACTCGGGGCATCAGTGGAGTCTGTAGCAAGTGGCTCCTGAGCAGCCTCACATCTGTCCCCTGCTCCCTCTGGGAGGCCTGTGGAACTGCTCCCCAGGTGTGCACCTGCTGTTCCTCCCTTGCTGCTTTGAGAGCAGTTAGGATCCAGCTGCAGGGCCTCTCCACCCAGATGTTCCGAGGGAGGGTGATGCCCCTGCTCTGTGTCCTGAGAACTCGGGCTGCTCTGGTGTTCTGCTTTGTCCACCGGATGCTTTCCTAAAGCCATTTCCTCTGAACTTTCTGGCTTGTCACCTGTGTCTGCTTGCTCTTGACCTTTGGCCTCTACCTCATGATGGTCATCCTTGAGATCTGATGCAGGAGGTGCGGTCTGGACTTCTTCAGTGTCGTTTGCTGTGACTGTGGTGCCCTGTGCTTGGGAGTCGACTGAGGAATCATTTTCTAAATCCTTTTGAGAGTCTAGTGAGATAAAAACGTTTGATTTTAAATGTTTCACCCATAGTTTTATACTCTAACAAGGTCTGCAATTACACACACGCAAACATACATACATGCATACATACAAACAACTCAGGTTTGATCCGTGAGGCCTACATGGTAGAAGGAGGTAAGCAACTCCTGCAAACTGTCCTCTGACCTTCACATGCACTCACACACATGCATAAATAAAATGTAGAAAACAAAAACAAAAACTGATGACCTCCTTCTCTTCTGAAAAAGCTATTTCACACATGACACACACACACACACACACACACACACACACACACCCCAAGAAGCAGGATGAAGACTTCATTTTATGCACATTCCCCTCTAAATCACAGGTTGCTTTCTAAAGAATTCTAAAGATGAGTCTACCATCTTTTTAAAAGATGCGTAGCATTTTGCTAAAATGACCACCCCCTATTAACTGGAGAATCTAAAACATTTAACTTTCTTATAATTAGATTTGATATTACATAAACGTCAGTAAATATGAAAAAAGTAAGAATAATAACAAACTAACCCACTGAATTCTAAGTTTTTACTTCAGAAATGGAGGTTTTAGTCAATGGCGACATCCTTTAACACAGCTCCCCCATTTCCTACAGCACGTATTCAGTGCTGTGAGGACTAGTCTCACCTCCCACAGGGTCACTGCAGCCACTGTCCATCATGTTCTTGTCCTGTCTGTCCAGGGACATCTTTTCAGTATCTGGGTTTTGTTCTAGAGATATCTTGTTTTCTTCTTGTCCCAAGTTCCAATAGACTCATGCTTCCCATGGAAGGAAGAAGCAAGGAATATATACAGTCACTAAAATAAAATGAAAAACAAAAACAAACAAATGACTTCATCCATTCAAGGGCAAAACATCAATTTCAGCTCTGAATAAAATCTCTTTAGTCTTGTGTTATTTATTAAATCCTTAAGAAAGGTTGCTTTCTGGCTTTCAGAAGCATCATTTCCCAAGCCCAGCTTGAGCTTTATAGCAAGTTCTAGACTGGTCGTGACCTCGCAGCAGTCTTCTTGCTGAGAGCTGGGATCCCAGGCATGTGCTACCATGCCCAGCCTCCGAGTAATAAATACAACAATAAAATTATGAACTTCAGAGAAGACAATTTTCTAGTATATTAATTATAACTGAATAGAACAAAAAAGAGTATTTGTTAAGGCTGTAGGTGTAGCTCAATGGTAGACTTCTTTAGCATGTGCAAGGCCCTGGTTTAATCATTAGTACCACATTAAAAAACTACAGCAAAAATATATCAAATGACTCCATTTACAGGAAATTTTAAACTAAGCAAATGATTAAAATCTACAGTGAAAAGAAAAACAAGTTAGTGGTTGCTAAAGATGTATGGACTATGGTCTTTGGAAAACGGGGGTGGGGGTGGGGGGGTGGGGTGTGTGTGTGATCAACATGGCACATTTATTGTCAAACTTAAAGGCTGTGTGCTTACTGTATACCTTTTATTCTTGACAAATAAGATGCCCTAAAATGTTTCATCTAGCTACAATGCAGTAAAAAAACAGTGGCAAAGGAACCACCACAGCAAACTCTCCAGACACTCAACATACACTTCTCCTCCCATGAGTACACGTCAGCCCGGCAGCTGCTTTCAAACCTTTTGTAAGCCCTCACCTCTGTACAGGGTTGAAACAGCACTCCCCCAAAAAAAAAAAAAAAAAAAAAAAAAACAGTGGGACAAACGTGCTTTTTACCTCAACTCACAAAGTCACATGGTCTGGTATCTGAGCCATCTGGAGGCTGCTGTTTCAGTACCAGGCAAGTCTTTTGAGCAGTGACTAGTCCATATTAGGGAGTGATTTCATTTGGAACCTCACAAAGAAAGTGCAGAAGAAGCTGGCAAGTGGTGAGCTTGTAATCCCAGCACTTGGGAGGTTGTTGGAGACTTTCTGTAGTCAGAAAAACTGATTCTTAGCTGTCTAAAACAGGTATTTGATGGTTATCTTTCCCACAAAGCATAGGAATGTATCTCAAATGACACACATTTTTTTTTAGTGAATCTCTTCCAAGTTCAATTGTGAAATATTGGTTTTCAGTAACCCATAGTAACTCATTTTTCTACTTAAGTAAAACTTAGCTTGATTCTCCCTGGATCATGTCCACTTTAACCCTAACCCTGTAACCTGCAGCAAACCTTAACCATTCTGCTTTATCTTTTCCAGGGCTTGGAACTGGTCAAAGTTCTAAGATTTAGTCTCCACTTATGGAGATCTCACAAAATGGTAGCTTACATTTTTCTGACAAATGGGGCAAAATGTCTTTTAGATCAGGTGCAAATGCTTGTTATGTCTTGCAGTTTTCTCTGTGTTTAAGATAATTACTAACTTTTAAAAAAATGAATAATGGGCCAGGCAGTGGTGGAGCACACCCCCC